ATATATGACTAGAGGCCTAGTCACGAAATTCATGCATTGGGGGAGGGGGTGTCTCTCAGCCCGGCCTGCGCCATCTCATAGTTCGGGACCCCTCGGGGGATGTCAGCCCACCTGCAGCAGAGGCGGGAGAGGCTCTTGCCACCGCTGTTGCGCTCGCCAGCCAGCCTTGAGCCTGGCTTCTGGCTGAGCAGCGCTCCCCCTGTGGGAGCGCACTGACCACCAGGGGGCAGCTCCTGCGTTGAACGTCTGCCCCCTGGTCGTCAGTGCACATCATAGCAACCGGTCATTCTGCCGTTCAGTCAATTTGCATATTAGAGCTTTATTATATAGGATAATCTCTCCTGCCTCATGGGTGGTTGCTGAGCCCTCTGCACAGAAAGTTCTGCCCTCAGATTTTCAACTCTCGACTCAAATGTCATCAAGTTATTAAAGGCTTATTAGTAAGCAACCTGACAAACTATTTTTTTGGACCTAACAGTTTCTATTTCATTACCCTGTTTTGTAGACTTTGTTGCATTAATTAGCTGAAATTGCATTTCTTTATTCTAAGTGGTCTACTCCTAGATCCTGTAATTAAGACAGACTGGTTTTCAGCCCTCTGCTTCAGTTACCTCATAGGGTTGTTGTCATAAAGATGAAATTAGTTAACAGTATCATGCACATAGTAGCAATATATTTATTACCTGCTGTTGTTAGTATTATTATCATGATTATGTTAGTGGTTTTGTCCATCTTCTTCACTTCTCTATCTTCAGTGCAAAAAATAATGCTTGGAGCATAAAAGATGCTCACTTAATATTTGTTCTGTATGTAATAATGTGTTGTATTTTACTATTGGAAATAAAGTTGAATTTAATATAGTGTCCATATTTTTCAAAGTATACTTTTTTTACATGATGATTTTAAAGGTTGAATTATGAATGTTAGTTATATAAGCATATTTTCATATTTGAAAAATAGAAACTACTGACTGAAACATCAGTGTTATTAATTTTAAGAAAGTCTGTGGTAGGCCTTAGCCAGTAGCCCAGTTGGTTAGAGCATCATCCTGATACGCTATGGTTACAGGTTTGATTCCTGGTAAGGTCCAATGAATGCATAAATAAGTGGAACAACAAATTGATGTTTTCCTCTCTCTCCCTCCTTCTCTTCCTTAATCTCCCCTTTCCTTGCTCTCTCTCTAAAAATCAATAAATAAAGTCTGTTGTAAACATGTTGGTTTGTAAGTGAAATTACTTGCATCTTGAATATGAGGAGTTTTTCTTTTTTTGTGTTATATTTTTCATTGCAAGGAAAATATAGAAAATTCTTCTATAATGTTACTTAATATAGTAAGACAGTTTATGAACAGAACATGTGGAAGATTCTGCCTATAGATGCACCATGTCTGATCAAGGAATAAATGCTACATTTTAAAAACAAAATAGAAATGTGTACAATACTGGTCTCATTCTGAAGGGTATGTTTCCTGAAACGCCTGCATAGGTGGAGCAGTGACTAGAGATAGAAATGGCCAGTCACTAGATGTTGGGGTCCAGCCCCAGCAGATCCAGGGGTTCCCAAAGGTGTGGACGGAGTCGGTGAAGAAGGAATGACACGGAGGCAGCATTCAGTTGATCAGCATAGCGAGGTTCTCCAGCCAGGTTCTGTCCAGGTTCTCTTGCCATGTTCTCTCACTAGGTTCTCCAGCCAGGTTCTGTCTTTTATTGTCTTGTTACATCTGTATTTATACCAGTTGATTTTAATCCTATCAATTTCTATTCCAAAGGTTAGGGCGTTTCTTATCTCCATTCCAGGGAGTAAAGATTATTTAGCTTAAGCGTGATTGTTCGAAGTTAAAGTGATTAACTACCTGCCTGGCACTTAGTTAAGGGGTTTTATTCCCTCCCTAACTTCAGGGAAAAATCCCAACCTTTCTCGGAGAGGTGACCTTGGTTAAAACATAGCGCCAAGAAGGGGAGCAAACATATTAAGAACAGTATGCCATATACGCCAGGTCCCTTGAAACATATGCTGTGCAGATGTTTCTTCTCTGCAGCGACTGTGTCAAGCAGCAAGGATGGACCGGCTTCCGGCAAATTCCCCCTTTTTTATTTTTTAAATGATAGCGCATGTAAATCAGCGGCCACCTCTCGGATTGGGTTGTTTAAGACTTGGAAGAAGACTGATAAGAAATGATAGCGAGCATAGCTATAAACATAGTGGATGGAGTGCACAAGGAGCCTTGTTCCTGTAGAAGGTTGCTGGCCTCTTCAGTCAAGGGATTTCAGCTGTCCTCAAGTCGGTGGTTTGGTTGTCCTTGTTGATCTGGCTAGCGGGTGGCGTCATTAGCAACGGGCTTCCTGATGCGTCAGCGAGTTGAAGGGCTGCATCAAAGGGTCCATCAGGGCCACGCTTAATGGTGGTGTCGGTGTCCGGGGAGGAGTCAGCTGTGCCCTCTGGGTCGGCTAGGGGAATCCTGTTCGGTCGCCATATGTTGGGGTCCTGCCCCAGCAGGTCCAGGGGTTCCCAAAGATGTGGACGGAGTCGGCGAAGAAGGAATGACACGGAGGCAGCGTTCAGTTGATCATCATAGCGAGGTTCTCCAGCCAGGTTCTCCAGCCAAGTTCTGTCTAGGTTCTCTTGCCATGTTCTCTCCCTAGGTTCTCCAGCCAGGTTCTCAGGAGTTTTTCTTTTTAATTTCTTAACCTTTTACATTTTTCCCCAAATAAAATATACTCTGAATATTCTCATTATACATCATATCCTAATTATAGCAACATTAAAAATCTTTTGATGGGAACCAAGTCAGGCTAAAGATCATCTTTCCCTTTTTGCTATAAGTCACAGTTCTCTTGCTGATAGTAATCTTGTGCACTCCATCCACTAAGATTATTAAGATGTTAAGCTTCTCATTGTGCACTACACTTTCCCTTTTTCTTTATTTGAATTTTAAGTTTCACTTCTTATGCCTCAGATAAGAAACCAGCCAATTCTAGAGCATAAAACTAGTTAATCTGAAATTACTGCTATTCTAAGTGGAAATGTAATTTAATACTGTGTATCTCCACAATAGTCTAGAAGCCACAGTACTGATAATTTTGTCATATTTCAAGATGATTTTATTAAAGTCACACCTTTTATATGTGCAGAATGAACATAGTTCTTGGTCCAGTCAGTCTCACATCCATAATTTGATCCATCTTGTTTCAGTAACAGATCCTCTTTTCACTATTCTTCAGTCCTCAAATTAAAAGAATAGTAACAGAATGAGAATGTAAAGATGCTGTCTTAGCCAACTGGGGCTACTATTACAAAATACCGTGGACTACTAATAAGTGGGTTAAAAATAGACATTTATTTTTCATAGATCTAGAGACTAGAATCCAAGGTCTAGGTGCCAGGCAGATTTGGTTCCACTTCAGGACTCATAGATGGCTGTCTTTTCAATGTGTCCTCACATGAAGGGGAGAAATAGAAAGGGGTGCTCTGGTCTCTTTCTTTTCTAGTAAGGACACTAATCCCGTCATGGGAACCCCATCCTTAGGACCTCATCTAAGCCTAATTACTCCTGAAGGCCCCACCTCCAAATACCATCATATTGGGGGTTGGTGTTTCAACATAAAAATTGAGAGACACATTCAGTCTATAACAAATGCTTAAATTAAACCAATTTTCATAAACTATTTTTCCCTAAAGGATTGGTAAGAAGAAAAATATGGTTATGCCGAAACCGGTTTGGCTCAGTGGATAGAGCGTCGGCTTGCGGACTGAAAGGTCCCAGGTTCGATTCCGGTCAAGGGCATGTACCTTGGTTGCGGGCACATCCCCAGTGGGAGATGTGCAGGAGGCAGCTGGTTGATGTTTCTCTCTCATCGATGTTTCTGGCTCTCTATCTCTCTCCCTTCCTCTCTGTAAAAAATCAATAAAATATAAAAAAAAAAAAAAAGAAAAATATGGTTAAAAGCTGAAACCATAACTTGACAACACATTGGTGCTCTGACCTTAATACGATTGCTCGATTATTCAAAGTTTGAACTAAAAAATTTGTTTCCACAAAATTTGAATAATAATTATTGTAAGCACTGAAGGTAATTCTAAAATACTTTGACTAGAACTTCAGAATGTTTTTTGAGTAAACATCTAGCCCTCTAAATGATTTGAAGAATATGATATTTATCTGGGTATGTGATATCTAGAATGTTGTTTTTTAAATATTAGTCCTGTTTTTAATTATTGCACAAATGTTTGTATTCCAGCTCTTCATTATGCACACATTTTGCATATTCATTGTAGACAGGGCCCAGGTCATAATAGATAGTAGGAGTGACTCAGTATGTTATTTCTTTGGCATCAATGAAAGAAGATGATTTTAAAAGGTGTATAGAATGCCTTAGTTAAACCAAGACTTACAGACTAAATCTCATTTTGTGCTGTCCAAGACTGAAGTCAGATTATTTAATATGCAACTATATAGACAGTACATTCTTTCCTTAACCCTAGCAATTTTTCCCCATTCTAGATGTCAACTCAGGCAGGGCAGACTAGGTTTGACTTAAGTTTTTCCCTTTCCCACCTTGAAGTGTAGGCATTCTCACAGCTGCTTTCTATCTAGATCTTACCAGTATGTGTTTTCTTTAGCTCTTTGTGGGTTACCCCCTCCAAGTACCTACTCACACTGTCAGAGATTACCTCTAATAAAAGTGAATTCCATATTTTAAGTAAGGGTTACACCATCTGTGCTCAGGGAGAATGTTACCTTGCATCCAAAGCTTGGGAGAAAGGCAGTGCATATCTCCTCTAGAACTGTTCCTTCGAGCTGATTTAAAAATCCATCAAATCTTTAAAAATCAACTTATTATTTTATAGCAGTGTGAATTAAAATTTATCCTAGAATTATTCACACTCAGCTTTTTTACATGCAGTTATTTTTGTTTTATTTTGAAAAAAATATATTTTCTTTTGGCTAGAAATGAAGGCTCTTAAACTTATTTTTTATTAAATGTTATTTTTCCTTATAGGTCTACTTCCCCTGCAGGACAGCATCATTCTCCTATGTCTTCTAGACATCACTCATCGTCCTCACAGTCAGGATCATCTATTCAAAGACATTCTCTTTCTCCTCGTCGAAAAAGAACCCCCTCACCATCTTACCAGAGGACAATAACTCCACCTTTACGACGTTCTGCTTCGCCTTATCCTTCACATTCCCTGTCTTCTCCTCAGAGAAAGCAGAGTCCTCCAAGACATCGCTCTCCAGTGCGAGAGAAAGGGAGGCATGATCATGAACGAACTTCACAGTCTCATGATCGGCGTCATGAAAGGAGGGAAGGTATGCACTGTATTTTATCTGGATTTTTAAAAGTCACTTAAGTAGATTTTTTAACTTAAACTTGGGACATTCAGATTATTATTATAATAAGGGATAGAAGAGAACTCTGTTATATTAAGTCTTCTGTAACACACAGAGGAGAGGTCTTGAGGACAATAGGAGGTGCTTAATGGCATGGGCATGTAAACTGTTAGCATGTGTATTAGTTAGTTATATGTATACTAAGTTGGTGCTTTCTTTAAGAAGTTTTACTTGAGTACTCTCAAGTTCTAGAAATTTTTGGTCATCTTATTTTTAGCGCACCCTCCTAATTGCTGAGTTAATTCTTTTAAAAAATAAAGAGGTGAAGGAATGAGAAGCAGCCAACCACAGGGCAGAGTTTGAAAGCATCAGAAGTGTTTTAATAAAGAGGTGAGAGTAGGGGGAGCATTCAAAGGATCAGTGCAAACCAAGTGATAGTTTTCCAGGTATAACTCAAGAAAGAAGTAAACAAAGCAGTTTCCTTTCTTAGATACCTGAGAATTAAGTTAACTTTGAATTTGCTACACCCTGTTCAAGCTGAGATGCTATCATTACCTGACAATACAGTGTAATATCTCTCATCTAATATCTCTGTAATTGTCTAAGCTTCTTATCCTTGTTTATTTACCTTGACAAGTTTTTCCCTAACTTCTCCTCAGTTAGTTTTAACATAATGAGTACTCAGAAAATAATTGCTTACTTGCAGCATTTCTGTTTCATATGCATTTTCAAAGGCTGTTTATGAGTACAGTATAGCAGTCTCCCATGAAACATGTTGAATTTAGTTATTCTCTTCCTATCAACATTGCAAGCAATAATTAATCAAGTTTTTTTTATTCAAGAAAATAATGGATACATAAGTAGAGACTGGAGAGAGCACCTATTTTATAGAATTATCCCTGTGTACATGATTTTTGGAATGAGATCAGTACATTAGTAGTTTAATAAGATATTTAACAACTAGAATTGATTAGGAATATAGTATTTCTTTAGTGACTACTTACTGAATGGACACTCTTTATTTCAAAACATAATTATTAAACACACTAATGAAGAGAAATAGTATGCAGTTGATTATTTGGGGGATTGCTTTTTTGTGGTAAGAGTGGCTTATGTTATAGGAAGAATCCATATGTGTTTAGCTTCTTTGTAAAGAGGACATTTCTTTAACCTTCCATACATGAGTGTAGCAGATGTTTGTTCCTCTCTATTTAGATGTCATTTTCTGAAATAAGAATAATTTTAGTGGAAGAATGAAAAGGGAGGTAAAAAACAAAATATAGTAATTAGATGTATTTGTACAGACAGATGGGGAGCGTCATGAAAAAAAAATATTAAGTGAACATATTTTTAGGCATAGTTGGTATTGGAAGAGGACTAGAAGTAATAGATGTTTACAAGAAGGGATGGAGACATATCAAATCCTTGCCTTTGCTGTCCAGCTTACTAACTGTAGGCCACTGTAAAGTCTTTGATGCCATTTGAGGTGGTCATGAGTGGTCTACCGGTCATCTGACCTAATATTTGGTAGAGATGATTAAAGTAACTGTGTGCCTCTGCATCTCAAAGTGATTTCTTAAAAGTAAGCCACTAATTATATGAGATCAATTTATTTGTTTCAATTGTCTAAGAAATAAGTATGGGTAAATTGGAGCAGGGGAAGATCTTATTTAGAGTTTATTCAATAAAAAGCAATTATCTAAGCCAGTGGTTCTCAACCTTGGCTGCACATTAGAATCACCTGGGAATCTTTTTAAAATCCTGATTTCTGGGCCTCATCCTTCGGAAATTCTGTTTCTTTGTTACTAATTTTGTGGCCTTACCCCTTAACAAAGAAACAGAATTTCCAGAGGGTGAAGCCCAGAAATCAGGATTTTAAAAAGATTCCCATGTGATTCTAATGTGCAGCCAAGGTTGAGAACCACAGATAAGCATTAGTAAAAAATTACCTTTGGAATTTTAGCTTTTGGATGGATTTAATTTTCTTACTTGACCATATTTTATCCTTTTATTTTCTTCAAAGAACATGAATTATCATTGTAATAGAATTTTTAAAGTTCCATCTTAAATATATTGGGGGTTTTCATTTCCAAAATTGCATTACAGAGACTAGAGGCAAAAGGGATAGAGAAAAGGACACAAGAGATGAACGAGAGTATGAACAGGATCAGAGCTCTTCTAGAGACCACAGAGAAGACAGAGAACCTCGAGATGTCCGGGATCGAAGAGATGCCAGAGATACTAGAGACCGGAGGGAACTAAGAGACTCCAGAGACATTCGGGACTCCAGGGAGATGAGAGATTATAGCAGAGATAACAAGGAGAGCCGTGATCCCAGAGATTCTCGGTCTACTCGTGATGCCCATGACTACAGGGACCGTGAAAGTCGAGATGCTCATCGAAAGGAAGATACATATCCAGAAGAATCTAGAAGTTATGGCAGAAACCATTTGAGAGAAGAAAGTTCTCGTACTGAATTAAGGAGTGATTCCAGAAGTGAGTCTCGAGGTGAAATTAGGAATGACCGGATGGGCAGAAGTAGGGGAAGAGGTCCAGAGTTACCTGAAAAGGGTAAGGTTTTTAACTTGTCAGTCGACTGTATCTTGTATATTTATATAGAAATTATTAAATCTCCTAAGATTTCTTTTCTAAATATATTATTTTTACATCTAAAGTAATTTTCAATTAATTAACTCTTAATTCTGAATAGAAATTGTGAGCTAAAGTAGCAAAAGATAAGTTGAGCCTGACCTAGACCCCCAGTTTGAATTATATCATGCCTAAAATCTTAATTAATGTGAAACACTAAGAAAATTGTTCTCAGGAGAAAAAAAAGGCAAAAGGAAATAATTTCTATACATATATTTAATTTCAAAATGATCATTAAAATGGGATTAAATGGTGGGCTTTCAAAACTGGTAGTGTCAGAAATGACTGATTTGTGTATTCTTCAGTATTTGTACTTGCTTCAAAACACTTCAGATCATCACATATCAGGATTTTGAGCCATTTTTCTTATCTTCCCCTATAAAAGCATTTGTCATACCATAAAACTACTACCTAAATGTATTTGACTATCTCCAAACTGCTTGGAGTGGATTAGCTTTGTCTTCCTCCACCATCCTTTCTCCCTTCCCCAAAACACTGCTGCACAGCCTGATCACTCAGTCTTTTCATTGGTCTGTTGGTCTCTCTTGGTCAATATTACAGCTTCACATTAAGCTGAAGGCCCCTCACCTTCTTCTTCATAGTTGTCTTGGGTTTTCTTAGCCCTTTGCTTTTTCATTTACATTTTGTAAATGTAAATAAAAATACCCATTTATTAAAAAAACACACACCTATATACTGCTCTATACCCTGCTGTTTTCACTTAAAATATATATTGGAGATAATTCCATATTATTCAGTTTGGTAAACAGCCACCGCCTTTTTTTCTGGTGCATAGTGTTTATTTAATAGGATAGACCATCTATCCTATCTGATAATAGACAAACATGGTAATTAACCGTACCTCCGACACGCTTCCCATTGGCTAATCAGGGCGATATGCAAATTAACTGCCAACCAAGATGGCAGCCGGTAGCCACGCAGCTGAAGCGAACAGGAGGCTTGCTTGCTCCAGTGATGGAGGAAGCCAAGGTTCCCCGCCTGCCACTGCCGGCCTCTGAGCTGCACTCTAAGAAACAATTTTGCAATTATAGAAGCTAAACAAACCCCAGAAACTGCTTTCAGCCAGCCGGGCCTCAGACCTGAGGCTTCAACAGTGTTTCAATTATAGAAGCCAAACAAACCCAGATACCTGCTTTCAGCAGCCGAGGTCTCAGAGCTGGAGCCGAGCCTCAGAGCTAAAGCCGGCTCTCAGTTCCAGTGACAGCCATAGAAGGTAAATAAATCCCAGAATGAAAAGAAAAAAGAAAAAAAGGAGAGGTTGGGGGCTTCAGTCGCCCGCCAGCCTGAAAACGGCCCTCAGCCCCTCACCCAGACTGGCCAGGCACCCCAGTGGGGACCGCCACCCTGAAGGGGGTGCGACCAGCTGCAAACAGCCATCATCCCCTCATCCAGGCTGGCCAGGCACCCAAGCGGGACCCCCCACCCTGATCCGGGACACCCTTCAGGGCAAACCAGCTGGCCCCCACCCGTGCACCAGGCCTCTATTCTATATAATAAAAGGGTAATATGCAAACTGACCCTAACAGCAGAAGGACTGGGAATGACTGGTCACTATGACACACACTGACAACCAGGGGGCAGACACTCAATGCAGGAGCTTCCCTCTAGTGGTCAGGGCGCTCTCACATGGGAGGAGCTCTGCTCAGCCACAAGCCAGGCTGGTGGCTGCCAGTACAGCAGTGGTGGTGGGAGGCTCTTCTGCCTCCTCAGCAGCGCTAAGGATGTCCGACTGCAGTTTAGGCCTGCTCCCCGCTGGCAAGTGGACATCCCCCGAGGGCTGCCAGGCTGCCAGAGGGATGTCTGATTGCCATCTTAGGCCCAAACCCCTGGGGAGCGGCCCTAAGCCAGCAGGTGGTCATCCCCTGAGGGGTCCTAGACTGCAAGAGGGCACAGGCCTCTAGTCCTATCTAATAAAAGAGAAACGTGGTAATTAACCGTAACTTCGCTACCCTTCCCATTGGCTAATCAGGGCGATATGCAAATTAACTGCCAACCAAGATGGCGGCAGCCTGCCAGGCAGCTAAAGTGAACAGGAGGCTTGCTTGCTCCAGTGACGGAGGAAGCCAAGGTTCCCCGCCTGCCTTGCCGGCCTCTGAGCTTGCTCTCTAAGAAACATTGTTGCAAATATAGAAGCTAAACAAAACCCAGAAACCTGCTTTCAGCTGTCAGAGCTGGAGCGAGCAGGACTGAAACAGTGTTACAATTATAGAACCCAAACAAACCCAGATCCCTGCTTTCAGCAGCTGAGGCCTCAAGCTGGAGCCGGCCTCAGAGCTAAAGCTGGCTCTCAGCTCCAGTGACAGCTATAGAAGGTAAATAAATCCCAGAATAAAAAAAAGAAAGAAAAAAGGAGAGGTTGGGAGCTTCAGTCGCCCGCCAGCCTGAAAATGGCCCTCATCCCCTCACCCAGACTGGCCAGGAACCCCAGTGGGGTCCCCCACCCTGAAGGGGATGTGACCAGCTGCAAACAACCATCATCCCCTCTTCCAGGCTGGCCAGGCACCCAAGCGGGACCCCCATCCTGATCCGGGACACCCTTGAGGGCAAACCAGCCGGCCCCCACCCGTGCACCAGGCCTCTATCCTATATAGTAAAAGGATAATATGCCTCCCAGCACCGGGATC